TGCTATTTGCTCCACTCTCTGTATTATGCTGCCTGATCTGTCTGGTTTTCAACTAGGTTCGCTAAATGACGTCATAGGGGCGTGTACTTTCATTTTCACTGCTACAGTCCCTCTGCTCTTGTTCAAACCAAAAGATTGGCGCGGTTTTTCACATGGCAGGCTTTTATGTCCTTCATACATGTTGAGATCGAGTTTATCGACTTGATGAGGGACTATGTCTTGACAATCCACACAGACGTGACTCAGACTAATGCAACAAGTAAAATCCTACATGACTTCACACTTTAACAGGCAGTCAAGCAGGTCGCACACCAGAAGTGTCGCGACACGGCGCGCACATGACAGTTTAAACTATCACACAACAGACGCGTACATTCGCATGATAATTAACATGAAACTAATCAGATGGCGCTCTGTGGCGCGGCTGAAATATGACCTGCGTCCTGAATCGGGGTGCTGCACGGCGCGTCGCCGAGAGGCGCTTCTGGTGTGCTTCCTGCTTCATACAGAGTGAACCAAAGCACATTGGTGCCATTATAATGTATTAAATATATATATATAAATATATATATATATATATATATATATATATATATATATATATATATATATATATATATATATATATATATATATATATATATATATATATATATATATATATATATATATATATATATATATATATATATATATATATATATATATATATATATATATATATATATATATATATATATATATATATATATATATATATATATATATATATATATATATATATATATATATATATATATATATATATATATATATATATATATATATATATATATATATATATATATATATATATATATATATATATATATATATATATATATATATATATATATATATATATATATATATATATATATATATATATATATATATATATATATATATATATATATATATATATATATATATATATATATATATATATATATATATATAT